ACAAAATTCATACTTATCTTATTGTTAAAATCTCTATAAATATTTTATAATTTGATGTGCATATATCTAATAATCATTTTTGAGCGCCAAATGGCATTTTTTTTTACTTTTTTCACTAGATCTCCAAAACCGCTAGACCTGCCTTCATGAAAATGTAATCAGTTCTTCATCCTGTCAATACAAGTAAAATGTTTTTTAGACTATTAAAATCGGACACTCCGTTCTCTTAAAAACTAAGTTACCGTTTGTGCCACTTTTTGCCCCGTATCTTCGAAATGGCTAGACCTGCTTATACTAAAAACTAATCAGCACGTCTCCTTATCAGTACGAATCGAATGTTTTTTGAATTATTCAAATCGCTTAATCCGTGTTCCCGAAATCGTCGACGAAAATTTGTATCCGCACGCACGCACACACACATACATCAATTTTTTCTAAGGTATGCCAAAATGTTCAGAAGGTTTTGAAACGTAAAGATATATAAAAATTTTCATTTTCGATTATTTTGTGATTACAGTAATCAGTTATAGCTATAACTTACCCTACGGGAAGTAAAACATAAAATGGCAAAAACTTTGTTTAAAAATTCGTGGATAGATATCTTTGAATATGTCATAAAAATAAAACGGCAAAAACTTTGTTTGCGTTAAGGCACGATGCCATACACCACTAGTTTATTTATCATTTATTCATTTATTAACTTCCCGTAGGGCAAGTTAGAGTAATAGCAAAAAAATCGAAAATGAAAATTTTTATATATCATTACGTTTCAGAGGTTTCTGAATATTTTGGTACACCTTAGAAAAAATGGATGAATGTGTGTGTGTATATGTGTGTGTGTATGTGTGTTCGGATACAAATTTTCGTTGACGATTTCGGGAACACGAATGAAGCGATTTGAATAATTCAAAAAACATTCGATTCGTATTGATAAGGAGACGTGCTGATTAGTTTTTGGCGAAGGCAGGTCTAGCCGTTCCGAAGATACGGGGCAAAAAGTGCCACAAACGGTAACTCAGTTTTTAAGAGAACGGAGCGTCCGATTTGAATAATTCAAAAAACATTTTACTTGTATTAACAAGATGAGGAACTGATCAAATTTTCATGAAGGCAGGTCTAGCGGTTTGGGAGATCTAGTAAAAAAAGGAAAAAAAATATCATTAGACATATGCACATCAAATTATCAGATATTTTATAGAGATTTTAACAATAAGTATAAATACTATTTACATTCCTACGGGTTCCGTACCAATGTTCATCCGTTAGACGGCGACGCGGCGCTTACGCGCTTCGATATTTCGTCTCTATGCAGTTAAAACAGTACGATTGCTTTAAAAAAACGTTCAGAACTTACAAAATATTTCAAAATAAATTTTTCTTCAAAAATTTTTTTTTTTTCAAAAAAAGTAAATTTTTGTCAAAAATTTATAGTTTCTCAAAAATCTTATTTTTTCAGAGTAATTTATTTTCAAAAATGTTAATCTTTTAAAAAAAAAATTTTTGGTACGGGAAGTTCCAACAATTTGCCTTAAGGCACGATGCCATGCGCCCCACTAGTTTATTTATTTCATTTTCTTACCTTTGTTTTGATTTTCGATACCCACTTTCGCATGTAGATTGAAATTGAAATTAGTTGAAACAAACTGTAAACAATAAAACAAAAATATAAATAAAATAAAATAATAATATATGAAACATTACATTGAACGAATTTGAACTACTTTTGCACAATTATAATAATAACAACAATTAACACTTAAACATTTGAATATATGAATTATCTTGTTATAAATGAATAAAAAACAATTATTTATTTGTTATTTGCACTTGTTTTTGACATTAGTCAGTAGCACCAATTGTTTCATATTATTATGTTGGTGGCACTGGCGCATGAACTGATGTGAAGATGCAACAAGTGTCAAACGTCAAACGCATGTTAAATATCAAACGTCAAACACGCAGTTTTATATTTACAATTTTAACTTTAATTACTTTTTATCTAATTTTGAATGTTTATTGCATTTATACACAATTTAGTTTGTAGAACAACTTTATAACTTAACGTATAATATAAATGTGGCGTTTATAATCAATTATGTACGCGTGCGATTCCAACCCGGTTGTTGTTTCCAATAACTTATCAAGACTCAAATGGGAGAATATACAATTTATAGAAGACAACCTTTCCAGGTATGAAAAAGTTTCTTTATTATTTTTGTTTAATGGCCATGGTTCCTTTATTATTTCTGCTTTATGGCCGGCAACGTGTTACGATAACATTATATATTCTTTAACTAATCCTATGCATTACAAATATTATTAACAATCATTTTGTTTTACATAAAACAAAAGACAAACATATATACATAAACATAGTAGACACAGAGCGTTTAGTATCAAACTTCAACAAAATTGATCAACTTGTGCAGTGTGGGACCTAAAACATTTCTAAAACAATGAGCTAGTAGTAATAATTTTTTTTTCTTTTAATTTCCATTAAAGTAAAACTTATTTGTTACTGTACAAGATTTATTCTATTAATTTACACATATACATTATTTTCATATCTCAGTCAGACAGAGGTGCCTGGTATGAGAGATTATGAAAAACAGTTTTCATATAATATATACATTTCATTTGACTATAATATCTATTTCATTAATATAATATTTATATATATATTATATATATATATATATATATATATATATATATATATAACTCTTCAGTCTTCTTTGTCTTCAATTGCTTATAGTATTTCTTTATTTTTCTTTTAAAATTATCGTTATCATTGGTCATCTTAATATCGTCTGGCAATTCGTTATATATTTTGCTAGCACTCCATATGACATTTTCTCGCAAATTCTTCTTTCTATTGCGTTCAATGTGAAAATTGTTGTGTTGTCTAGTGTAGTGTTCATGTATATCTTGATTTATGTCTATTGTTGCACTTGTTTTAATTCGGTTAAATTTCATTTTGTGTATTAGTTTGCATTTGTCTATTTTAATTATGTTATTTAGGGAATGATTATTTGTTTCTCTCTGTAAGTATTTGGTGGGTGTGGAAAATTATATGCCATTTTTATGGCTTTATTCATTATTCTCCGTATGTCATTTAGGTTTGCTTTAGTTGTTTGACTCCATGTTGTTATTCCATATAAAATTATAGGTATTATTTCCGCTTTAAGAATTAGTATTTTATTTTTTTTGCCGAAATAGTGGATCCTTTTCAATGCCCCTGTTAATGTTCCTATCTTTCTTTTTATTTTGTTTATATGTTCTGTCCATGTCAGTTTTTCATTTATTATCAGTCCTAAGTATTTTATGCTTTCCACTTCCTCTATTTCTCTATTATTTTAAGATGGCATTTAAGTAAAAATATATACATTATATAACAATTTCGAATAATGTTCATTAGTAATATGGTAACACTCGTGATGCACACATTCATTAGTGTCAACTATTATACACATTTATATAATGATAAATTATAAATTATATATTTATAATATCATTAAACATATGACATATGTATAATATTTCAAAACAATAATGTAATTAAAGTCATACTTCAAATATGACATGATCGGTGTGTCATTGTAATTAGCATTTAGAAATGAACCTTTATTAGAGAAATGAAGTAATTGCTGCTTTATAAATTCTATAATATTCGTTCACACAGTGGATTATGTTAAATAACGCCTAAACAAATATTGTTTTTGCAACTTCACTCATCATGTAATTGTGTTTGAAGAACTTCATGTAATAAAATTAACATACATTCATTGACTCACCACTTTTTTGCTGACGATATAATCTCATTCTTTGAACAGTTGTAATATCTGTCTTGCCTAAAAAATATTTTTCATATTAATAACTTCAAAGATTTATAAAAACTACGAATAATATAGAAATAATTTCTAATCAATAAACTTACGTTTAGTACACGGCACAAATGTTTAAATTGTTTTATTATTTTCAAGAAACAGGGTAAAATATTCTTTTAATTCAGGCATTTTTTATCAAATCAAGATTTGTACTACGATGTAACTTTAAGATGTTTATTCATCTATGCCGATTTCCTTGTTACAACAATAGATCTATATTCACATACAAGACGACTAATCACGATCGACCCGTATAGAAATGATCTCATCCAGAACGAATGACGAACAGTTCGGGCGTAACGGACTTACGTTGCATTTATACACAAATTACACTCTAGTCGCGCCTAAAAGAAGTTTTACTTCAATAATTTTACCTTTGCAATGCAGTTTATATAATTCTTGTAAATATTAGACAATGTCCTTCATTTTTAAATTCGATTGATTAAGTTTAGTTCATTTACTTTTCTGTAAACATATATAAGTTACAATACAATTCATAGAAGACAACCTTTCCAGGTACAAAAAAGTTTCTTTATAATTTCTATTTTATGATCGTGGTCAACCAGCATCAGCTTATAATGAAATTGATCAATCCGAACAATCAGGGACCTACAACATTTTTAAAACAAAAAGTTAGTTAAACTAATAAACTCTAAAGCTCACTTATATACTTCTAATAAATAATTTTAGCTTTGCAATTCAGTTTATATAATTCTTAGAAATATTAGAGAATGTCCTTCATTTTAAATTTGATTGATTAAGTTTTGTTTATTTACTTTTATGTAAACATTTATAAGTTACAGTATTTATAATAATCTATTACTTCACTCAATAAGTCTATAGGATAACTAAGACCATTTTTCTGGCAAAATTCTTTTTCTTATTCAGCATAGTTTTCTTCGAAGATAATATACAAATTATAGTGAACTTTGAACTTTTTGAAACCATTTTTGTAGTACGATTTGTACTTTACCACAATGTTCTGCTATCATCCCATGGTTTGGCAAAAATTTCTCCATCACGAGCACCATTTTGAGACCTGAGAAAAGGATATGGGCGCTGGGGAACAGATCTAGAAAATATAGTGAGTGCGGATGCCTTTCGGAGCCCATCATGTTTTTTTTGCCAATATTTGCAGGGATTTATGACTTGGTGCATTGCCCTGATGGAGCAGCAGCTGTTTTTCAGTCGCTATCACTAGTGGATTCTTTTTTAGGTGTTGCAGGTTTTCCTTTTGGTTTGGGAGCTTCATCTTCACTTATCAAGCAATATTTTGGCTGTGATCATTGATACATCAACCCACAAAATTGCTTTGAATTCATGGTTTCAAAAAACTCAAAAGTAGCGTAACTTGAACCTCTGTAACTTGTAAAATAATATTATCATGAAATTTTGACATATGCCTTTTTATAATTTAATCATATGGATGATTACATAGCTACATCATCTATGTATTATCCTACGGACTTATTGAGTGAGGTGATATATGAATACAATTCATAGAATACAACCTTTCCAGGTACGAAAAATTTTCTTAACTATTTCTGCTTTATGGCCATGGTCAACCAGCAACTGGTTACGATAACATTTTGCAATTGATCAATCCCAGCAATCAGGGACCTACAACATTTTTAAAACAAAAAGTTAAACTAATAAACTCTAAAGCTCACTTATATACTTCAAATAAATAATTTTAATGAAGACAACCTTTCCAGGTACGAAAAAGTTTCTTTACTATTTCTGCTCCATGGTCATGGTCAACCAGCAACAGGTTACAATAACATTTTGCAATTGATCAATCCCAGCAATCAGGGACTTACAACATTTCTAAAACAATGGGCTAGTAGTAACAACAATTGGGAGAATGTTTTGCGAGAAGCCCTGACTTTGATTCAGAATTTTGCGATTTTGGATAAACTTGGTTTTGATTACCAAGATGAATGCTTGAGGTTTTTACCTAGACAAAGCGATTGCTCAGTTTACATCCATCCTGTGATTAAAATTCTGTACCATTTGTGTGAAGACTCCACAAAGGAAGTTGTTAAATCGATTGTGAATGAAATGCGTAAAGTTGCAACTTTGGTGGATGACTTCATAATGCTTGAATATTTTGAAGTTAATATTTTGAATTGGATTCAAAAAGGCGTGATAAAGGTTGGCGGCGACGACAAAGCAAATGTTTCCACGTTATTGAAGGTACTTAAAACATTGGAGCTAGAAAAGTATTATGATTTGTTGAAAAATGCTGAAAGTCGTGTCAATATCAATCAAAGTAATTGCTTGTCCAATGATTTGATAAATACGTCTCAATCCTTGAGTTCCTGCACAGTTGTGAATCGTAGTTTATCAGATTATTACAACATGGATATAGACAATATGGGTGTATGTTTAATTATAGATGAAAAAGACTTTGCCCCAAGTATTGTTACCGGAGCACCGACATTAGAAACGAGGCACGGTACCGAGATTGATAGGCAAAAAGTAAGTGACATGTTTTCATCCTACGGTTACCGAATTGTTGTAAAACACAACTTAAAAAGTTTTGAAATACTAAACACTGTTGACAAGTACGCTAATGAATTGAAACCTTCCGACTGTTCCTTTGTTGTATGCATATTATCACACGGGCACATAGGTGCTGTTTTCGGAACCGATTGTCTTCCCGTCGACATCAGCAAAATAAACCAAAGAATGAGATCCAAACAATTACTCAACAAACCCAGTATACTACTTATCCAAGCATGCCAGACACCTGTCCAGTCTTCCTTTATCAAGCAAGAACTGACTATTGATGGTCATCATATGTTGCAAGATGCTGCAATGACAACGGCTTGCGATTTTGTGATCTTTAATTCTACTGTGGAAGGGTATGCCAGTATAAGAGATAAGAAGCAAGGTTCTTGGTTTATACAAGAGGTTTGTGATGTTCTGGATAAGTATGGAGAAGAAAAGGAGATTACTGAACTTTTTAAGCAGATTACCAGGAATGTTGTGCAAAAAATTTGGACGCACAAGAATCAAGATGGATGTATGGTGCCTAAATTTTTCTAGCACTTTTATTAAGAACTTTGTCTTTCCACGACGACGGGGGGATAGAAGGACTAGCTGATTTCTAAGAGATAAGGTAAAAGATTAGAGTTATATTAATGAGTTGTAACGGGGCGTCCATTAATCACGTGATAGATTTTTTAAAGATTTTTGGACCCCCGCCTCTCCCTTTGTGATACATTCAAAATTAAACGCCCACCCTTCCCCAGCGAACATCACGTGAAATTCAAGTGAAAATTTTGATTTTTTTTTAACATGTTTGGATTTTTTCAAAAAAATCAGTCAAAAAATAAATACACGTGATATCTTTCTATATCCCTCCCTCCCCCCTAAAAACCTCACGTGATTAATGGACGCTCCCTTGTTATTTAGCTGTTTAGATGAAATGTTTAGCTCTTTATTTTAGAAAATAAAATTTTTCGAAATATTCGAAAATAAACGAGTTTTCACTAAAAATTAACACTGGAGACACTAAAATTTTTTCCTGAGATGTTATGGTGGTAGAAATGATGATTCTAGAAACTGTAGCAGAAATTTGCCAACAGATCTAGTGTTTGAAATATGCCAATATGCTAGGTTTACCCCAAATTTAATAAAAAATACAACATATTTCATTTTATGCTTTCAAAAGTCTTTTTATGTGAATTTTATTGTCAGCAATCATGTGTATGTCCCACCTTCCTTGATATTGCTCCTTCAAAGTACTGGTATCTTGGTGGATACACTCCAAAATTTTCCAAAGACCATTTTAAATTCGAGTGCGGGTAATGAATTCAAATCAAATATATAAGTTTTTAATCCTTCCCTTTTAACGTTGGTTTCTATATCCATTACTTGGTAGCCAAGAGATCCATTCAATTTATCTTGGAAAATTGAGCTTCTGATTTTAAATCAATTCATCTTGGAGAATTGAGCTTCTGCTGCCACTGTGGGTATTTTCAAGACCTTGTGTATCATATTGCTGGTTATAAACTATGGAACTCGTTGTTGATCATTCTAAAGATCTTGTTTTGTGTTCTCTGAATTATTAGAATGGTAATCTTGCTGACACAACCCCACAGGGACAGAGTCCCATACGCCCTAATATAAAAATATTTGTATAATTAAAAAAGTAAAATCTTGTCCATTAAAAAGGGCAGTGCGTCTGATCAGATAGGGTCTGTGGCGGCAGAAAGCCTAATCAGCCACTGACTGTATTTCAGGATTTGCTTGTCTATCTAATTTATCTTGGAAAATTGAGCTCCTGCTTTTAATGACCTCCGCGACTGTGGGTATTTTCAAGTCCTTGTGTATCACATTGCTGGTCATAAACCATGAAACGTTGCTGATCATTCTTAGTATTTTGTTTTGACCTCCCTGAATTATTAAAATGGTAATCCAACTCTTGCTGACACAACCCCACAGCTCTATCCCATAGGTCCGTATTGGAATTATCATCACTTTATATAATGGAAGCTTATTTTCCAATGAGAGCTTGGATGATCTTCTTAAAAGTCAGTTCAGTCCCTTCATTTTAAGATCTATTTGCTTTCTTTTCATTGTTATGTGCATTTTCCAATTGTGTATTCTATCAATGTGGATAACCAAGGTATTTTACAGATTCTTGATTTGGAATAACTGCATTATTCAAGTATAATATTATTAAACTATAGACATTCTACAAACAGATAATAATGATATAATTATCTTGTTCTATGTATATAATAATAAATAGTAGTCTGCCTGAAGGCAGGTCCATGGTATGAGAGCACCACAAAATCAATGATTTTCTTCTTCTCCTTACTTGTTTATTATTCCCATTATCGTTTTCTTACCAATGATTATACACTATTAATCACATAATATTCGTTTTTATGAATTTTCCTTTCCAAGCTTCTGCTTCCATGCTTCCTGATCCTGTGTTTCGGCTTTCAATTCCCAGTACTTCCTCTTCTCGCGTAAGTCATCAACCATCTGCATTCTTTTTCTTCCCAATCCTTTCAGTCCTTCTCTCTTGCTTTCGACAACGTCGTGTAAGAGAAACTCTTTTTGCAGAATGGGTCCAGTTCAGTTTCTTTTTCTTTTCAGGATTGTGCTCAGTTACTTCCCCCACTCTTTTTGGGTCTTCTTCATTTGTTATCTTGTCAGTCCACTTTACCTTCTCCATTTGCCTCCAGCACCACATTTCAAAACTCTTCAGATAGTTCTTGTCGGCTTTTCTTAGAGCCCATGTCTCTGATCCGTACAGAGCTTTGTATATATATTTAAATATTTACACTTTTTCAAAAACCTTGCCAAGAATTATTAATTATATAATCTACATCTTTAATATTTTTAAATGAATTTTTGTATAAAATGGACTACTGCCACATAATTTTTAAAATTCTTTTTATAAACTGTACCCATATTTTGTATACAAAATGTGATTAAACAAATGTAAGAAATTTTAAACACTATTATGTGATATTTTTATAAATATATTGCTTAAATTTTTTATGAAAAATAATGTTAGATAATTATAAATATATATTTTATCAATATAAATTGATATTTATAAATACCTGTAAATATATATATATATATATATATATATATATATATATATATATATATATATACTATAGTATGTTATATAAAAATTTGAAGTATGTACAATTTTAGAAAACAATTAAACACTACATTTATATTTTATAACATTAACCCAAATAATTTTATTTCATGTTTAATTATTTATTAACATCAATTGTTTATTAATAATGATGTTACAAAATCTAATCGAGTGTTTAATTATTCACTAATGTTCAAAATAACATTAGCATAAGTATTTATAAACATAAATACATTTATATTTTATAATAAGAACTTATATATAAATATTTACCACCTTAGTTTATATTCTTAAGTAAATGTGAGGTATCTGGAGCTCTTTTTATAAATGTTAAAAACTTTAAGTACAACTTGAGTAATGTTATTCTTATTTGGGCACTCCTGGAAATATAAAAAATAAATATTAATGTTAAGGAATAATATGAAAACTACTTAAATTAAATTAAATAATGGAAATATGATTATAATAATGCAAAATAAATCAATCAAATGAAAAAAATATACTTATATCTTTTATAATTATTAAATATAACATTTTCAACAAAAATACTTAGTTTTTCTTATATCTATAAAACCAGCAAAATAATTTCTTGTAAAGTTATGATACAAAAAACATAAGATGTTAAATTGTATATATAAAAATTTAGATTTTTGTTAAAGTTTCTAATTTAAATTTGTTAATTAGAAATGTAATAATTATAAAATGTATGAATTTTTATTTAGATCAAATGCTAGAATAAAATAATATATATTTTTTAATTTTTCTAATTTTATATAGACAATCATTAAAAGATTTATGAATATTATTTTGAGCAGCTCTTATAATGGGTTTCTTTGTTTAATTAAATTGTACTTATATGTATATTTACATTTTTTTTTTGATAATTCAAAATATCCTATACAATTTAAAACTATGCTTGCAGACCACATTAATACTTTAAAACACTACTTTAAAAATTATTAGAAAAATCTTTTTTGACTATTTATAGCAATAGAACAATAAATAAACGCAATAAACTCAAGTTTGGTTGGAATGCTAAATATCTTAAAGTTAATATAAAGAGCTAAAACTTTCAGAGAATTTTTTTTATCCATTTGGAAGCATTTGTACCCCTGGGAGCAATAAAATTCAAAAATATCCATATTAAGGACTACCCTAATACACACACACACACACACACACACACACACACATATATATATATATATATATATATATATATATATCTTATATATAAAATTCTTCTGTAACAATGTAAGTTTCATATTTCCTCCTAAACTATAATTCGGATTTTCATGAATCTTCCTGAAGTTTGTTCGGGAAAATTTTTTAGAATGTTTTGATTCATAGAAATATAGTTAAATTGTAGAAATAAATAGAAAAAATTACAAAAAACCGCTTATCATTGTTTGCCCTTGAAAATATTTGAAGCTTAGTTTGACATTAAAAACAATTGAAGACTGTCATTTGCCAAACATTTCTATTCACTTATAGGCTAAGGCCATATTAGAATATAATAAATTCATAATTATGAATAGGAGAATGTAATGTCTACATTATTAATGCCGAAAAGCAGCTGAGATGTGCCAAAATTAAATTAATATAAGATGCAAATAATATAACATGCATTTGACAAGTGATGCATTCTGCGCATGCGTCTGACGTGCGCGTGTGTTTTGCTTTGCTTGCAATAATTTGTTTGCGCACTTTGCGAACAGATTCGCCGTACGAATTCGCGCAAAGGAGCGAGCCATAAGTGATTGCG